GATAGTCGAAATACTCGACTATAGCGTTCTTCCTTGTTTTTGGTTGCTCTTTTGCTTTACTCGTATTTATTGAATCTTCTATCAATAAGTGGATCAAATCTTAACTAACAGTCTGTAGACTGACTTTAGACTAAATGGCCCTGATAATTATAGGTGGGCTGGCAGATGGTTTCGAAGTAGACGGGTTCTGTTCGCGATCCGTGTTAGATTCCTTGCGAGATTATTTAAGTTCAGTGTAAGCTTAAAGTCTGTCGAGGTGGACGCCGAGATATGTTACATCTTTGGCTTGGGGGATCTGCGTACTGTTCAGAGAAAACGTTATAAGTTGCCATTCACTTTGATTCGCCAGCCTGATAGCCACTTCTTAACTGCCACCAGATGAGCTGTTGTCAAAAAATTTGAACGTAATTAGCATTAACTTTGTAGGAATATCTGTTTGTAGGAATAAAGTGCTGCATTAGAAAAGGAAAGAATTATGGTCCTATGTCTTACAGAAACCTTAAAATGTGAAGCCAAAGTTAAAACTTTGTTTTTTGTTTTTAAAAATACGAAAATTGAATTTTTTTTCCCTTTGAGTGATGGTTTTTACAATAAAAATATACAAAAATATTTTTTATGAAAATGGGAATAATAAATTTTAGCCCTTAAATATTTTCAAAAATTTTTTGAAAATTTTTTAAAAATATTTTTATAACCAAGAAATGTATTAAAAATTACCTCTAAAATAAGACGTGTTTATAGTAAATTTGGCTTAAAGTTTCTTCAAACGTAACCAAACGTATTCATTTTTTTTTATTCTTAAGGTATGTACCTTTGAACCACCTAAGGAATTCCGTTCCCCGTCTTGCCCCAAGATAGTTATTTTAATTCAAAGTGGCACGGTATTTCACAAAAAATACGTTTATTATTTTTGAATGTCAGGTGTTGGTAAGCTGATTCGGTCAGTTGTTTTTGGCACTTGTGATTAATTAAACAAAGTAAATAGTCAAATTTAAGCTCGACTGCCGTAATCCAACTAAGAAAGAAATGGAAAACGAAGAACAGCGTATGGACTAGTGTACTCTAATTTATAGTGAACGTCTTACTGTGAAATTTGTCATTAGATAGAATATATGTTTGTCTTTGTAATATGTGTTTCAGGTCTTTAGTTAGAGTGATTATTTGTAACCGGTAAACATATGTTTAAACATAGGTTTTTATAGATTTTTTCTGACATTGCATTTTTACGTTCCCTATTTTAGAACTTTCAAATTCAACTGAATTCAACTACATAATGTAATGAATGACTGCGGCAAAACGACGAGAAGTCAGACATAACCATAGGCGAAACTGAAGCTAATATGAAGCTACAGGCTCGTTTTTGTATCACTGCTGAACGTTTGATCTTACTTCAGGATTGTGTTATTAATAACGCAAAATGCGAAAATGAGAATCTTACACTCATATCAAAATGGGGGTTTGATGGCAGATAGCTCTTACAAGCAAGCATTTTACGGTCCTGAATGTAGCGATACCTCAATGTTGATAACATCAATTTGACCTTTAAGACTTGTGTACAAGAGCAAGGTGCTTTGGCAAAATCCAAGACCATCGTCCACAAGGTTTTGCCGACCACTCGAAATTGCCGTCGTCAAGGAAACGACAATTTTTTCACAAGAAGAAAAAGATAGAGGATTGGCTGAGATTGAAAAGTATCTTTTGGAGATAAGCATCTAGAGGTCAAACAAGAGTTGACTCTTTCAATGATAGATGGAAAGGTTTGCAATGTCATAACTGTATTGTATTCCAGCATGGTTTTATTCAAAGTGTGGACGTCACTGTTTAGTACCAAGATCTCTTATATCGATTACACAGGCAAAGATAACGATCGAAAGCTTAACATACGATATATACTAAATATGTGCTATATAACATATCCCTTCTAATTTTCAATTTCAATTCATTAATGATTCTAATATTTAAATGCTTGCAATTTCTATTCATTGCTTAACGACCTTTCCCTCCACTCGGGGTCTAAGGCTTCTTTTGGGTGTTATACTCCTAATTGGGCTTCTAGAGGAAGAATCCACACATACTTTAGATTCCACAATTTGTGTATCAGCATTATTCCACACTTGTGCACATTTGTGAACCACATCCGTATTGTCCATCCGTTTTGTGTTATCCTCGAGAGCTCGGATTTGATCGGTGTGCCGCTTTATGATTCTGTGGTTGTGAGCAAGGTTGCACAAATATATTCGAGATCCTAAGCTCTTGTCTATTGTTGCCTGTGACCAAGATGCCTTATTTGGATTCGTGTAATCCCGAATGTATACTTTTTGTCCCTGATTGAATGATTCTAGACGATTCCCTTTATAACTTTTTATGCTTTTTTCTTGCTGTTGCAAAATTCTTGAACTGACTGTGGGTGGACTCATGAGATCAAATCTAGTTTTTAGACTTCTACCAAAAAAAAGCTTTGCTGGGGTTTCTCCCGTTGTACAATGAGGTGAATTTCGATAGTCTGCTAAGAATCTGTTTGTAATGGTTTCTAAACTTCCGTGAAAGTCCTTATCAAGTGTTGCTAGAATGGATTTTTTTAAGACCTTAAAGAAAATCTCTGCCTGTCCGTTCGTGGCAGGATGACCTGGAGCGGTTACAACATGTTTTATTCCATTTATTTTTATGAACGTTTTAAACTCCAGCGATGTAAATTGACGCCCGTTATCAGTGACTTAGGCATCTATTAATCCATACCTACAAAACATTTCTCTTAACTTTTCCACTGTAAAGTTACTTGTAATTTGTTTTGTGATTACAACTTCGCTCCGTTTCGAATACGAGTCGACTACAACCATGAAGTAATGATTTCTGATAGGCCCAGCAAAATCAACATGACTTCGTTTCCATACTGAGTCTTCAGGGCTCCATGGAATTAAAGCACTTTTGCTAGGACTATCCATGAGTTTTTGACATGGATCGCATTTGCCAATCATGTACTCTATGTCCTTGTCTAACCCTGGCCACCATACGTAGTTTCTGGCCAATGATTCAATTGATAGCTCTGTGTGTTTCTGAATGAAGGGTTGAAACTCCTTGTCCAAGGATTGAATGGTACCATGTTCTATTGCCTTTAATACTTTTGACAATGTAGGATCACGTCGGGACAGTCTGACTATGCATTGAAAATTTAAGTTTAAATGCCTATGTTGAGTTACGAAGTTCACATAACTGCACTCTTCAGTCTGTGTCTGTGTTAATGGAACTTGCGGAATTCTCGATAAACTATGTGCCTCATTCACTGATCCCTTGACATATTCTACACTATAATCAAACCCTGATAAATTTAAGGCCCATCTTTGTATTCGAACTGACGCCATTACAGGCAATCCTTTACACTCGCCAAATAGAGTAAGTAGAGGCTTGTGATCAGTACGCAACGTAAATCTGTTGCCCAGTAGATACTGGTGAAGTTTGTTAACGGAAAAGACAATTGCTAACGCCTCCTTTTCCACAGTGCTGTAATTTCTTTCACTCGACTGAAGGTCTCGCGAAACAAAAGCTATTGGTTTTAAAGAACCGTCTTCGAACTTATGTGAAAGAATACCTACTACTGCTGTATTACACGCATCTGTGGTTAAAACTATTTCCTGGATTGAAGTGTACCAACACATGATCAGATGCAACATCTTCTTTAATCTGTTGATAGGCACTTTGACATTGATTCGTCCATTTGAACTCTACACCTTTTCTGAGAAGCTGATAAATCGGATCCATTTTCTCGGGAAATCTATCATGAACTTGGAATAGTAGTTTACCATTCCGGTGAATGCACGAACTTCAGAAATGTTTCTTGGATTTGGTGCGTTCAGCACATACGAAACTCGAGACCGTCCTTGTCAATATTAAACCCTAAATATGTTATTTTGTTTTTGAAAAACATGCACTTTTCTTTGTTTAAGTGTAACCCTGCTGACTTAAGCTTTCCTAAAACCTTCCTTAATGTGTCTACATAAGATTTCAAATCTAAACTAGTGATGGTTATGTCATCTTGATAAATGACAACATAAGGAATGATTCGAAGCAAAGATTCCATTGTCTTTTGGAATATGGATGCTGCAGTTTTAATCCAAATGGCAATCTTTTGACCTTAAAGATTCCTACATGTGTGCTCCACGTGCATAATGACTGAGACTCCTAATCAAGTAATAACTGATTGTATGCTAGGGATAAATCCAGCTTTGTAAAGCGTTGGCCACCCTGTAATGCAGCGAATATCTCGTCAATTCTTGGATGCGGGTACCTAAACTCATTAAGATATTTATTAATGGTAACTTTGTAGACTGCGCAAACCCTCAATTCACCATTAGGTTTCAGTATGGGAACAAGAGGGGTCCCCCAATCTGAACTATCTACTTGCTCAAGCATGCCCTGGTCTACCAGCTTTCTTATCATTTGCTCTACCTTTGACTTCCACATAAATGGTAAGGGTCTCGGCTTGTGAAAGATAGGTTTAGCTTCTTCCGAAAGTCGAAGCTTGACTGTTTCACCGTGATACGCTCCTAATTCATCTGAAAAATCTGAAGAAAACTCGTTTTTAATTTTTGATCTACTAGCGTTTTAGTGCTTTCACTGCTCTCTATGCCATTGACTTGACATAATTCGAAGTTGAATTCTCGTAAAAAGGATCTTCCTAATAGAGGCATATTTTTAGACTGGGTCACAACAAAAATAGAATTGGCATAGGTGTCTTTGAATTCAATTTGGGCAACAAACTCATCCAGAATCCTTTTTGGGTCACCATAATAATTTACATATGGTGTTTCGCAAGATTTTAAATTGGGCGTTTTCATTTCTCGAAATAGATCTACAGGGATCAGGTTACAAGGTGCACCCGTGTCACATGCTGCACCAATTTTGATGCCATCCACTACAACAGTAAGTGTGTACACTTCCTCTGAAACTTTACCTAAGATACTGAAAATACTATTATTAAAAACTTCGTTATGACTATTTAGGTGATTTGGATCAGATACAAAGTTTACATTTCTGCCTTTAGTTGCTTTACATCTAGTTGCAAGATGTCCAATTTTGCCACAGTACTGTCCTTGTACTTACACTCCTGTGATGAATGATTTCGCCATCCGCATCTTGAACATGGCTGCCGCTTTTTGCCTTTCGCCACTTGCAAATGTTGCGTCTTGTTTACGAAATTGACCATTCCGTCTGACCTGGTCCTGCTTTCCTCCAGTCGCCAACTTGGTCTCGTACAGTAACGCCTTCCTCAGTGCCGCATCCAGGGATATACTCCCGTCTTCCTTGCAAAATCTTTCAAACAGCTCGTTGGACATTCCAACGATGAACTTGTCTAGAACAAATGCTTCTAGATGCTGTCCAAAAGTGCAGTTGAGCGCTAGCTTTTTTACCCTTGCAAACCATGTTGCCACCGATTCTTCAGCGAGTTTACGAGCCAGATGAAATTGCCTGCGTTCGTAGAATGTGATTGCTGGCGGTGTATACTGGGTGTGTAGCATGGCGCATAGTTCTTTGTATGTTTTACTTGTCGGTAATTCTGGACTGCAGAGACTGTGTAATACACAATAGGCTTCCGAGCCAACTGACTTCAGCAATGTCGCCTGTTTGGAGTCGTCCAACGTGATCGCCACTTCTGTGAAATGCACCTCCAAACGCTCTAGCCACATCTGCCACGTGGATTCGCTCCGTACGAATTTTAAATTGGGCGTTTTCATTTCTCGAAATAGATCTACAGGGATCAGGTTACAAGGTGCACCCGTGTCACATGCTGCACCAATTTTGATGCCATCCACTACAACAGTAAGTGTGTACACTTCCTCTGAACCTTTACCTAAGATACTGAAAATACTATTATTAAAAACTTCGTTATGACTATTTAGGTGATTTGGATCAGATACAAAGTTTACATTTCTGCCTTTAGTTGCTTTACATCTAGTTGCAAGATGTCCAATTTTGCCACAGTACTGTCCTTGTACTTACACTCCTGTGATGAATGATTTCGCCATCCGCATCTTGAACATGGCTGCCGCTTTTTGCCTTTCGCCACTTGCAAATGTTGCGTCTTGTTTACGAAATTGACCATTCCGTCTGACCTGGTCCTGCTTTCCTCCAGTCGCCAACTTGGTCTCGTACAGTAACGCCTTCCTCAGTGCCGCATCCAGGGATATACTCCCGTCTTCCTTGCAAAATCTTTCAAACAGCTCGTTGGACATTCCAACGATGAACTTGTCTAGAACAAATGCTTCTAGATGCTGTCCAAAAGTGCAGTTGAGCGCTAGCTTTTTTACCCTTGCAAACCATGTTGCCACCGATTCTTCAGCGAGTTTACGAGCCAGATGAAATTGCCTGCGTTCGTAGAATGTGATTGCTGGCGGTGTATACTGGGTGTGTAGCATGGCGCATAGTTCTTTGTATGTTTTACTTGTCGGTAATTCTGGACTGCAGAGACTGTGTAATACACAATAGGCTTCCGAGCCAACTGACTTCAGCAATGTCGCCTGTTTGGAGTCGTCCAACGTGATCGCCACTTCTGTGAAATGCACCTCCAAACGCTCTAGCCACATCTGCCACGTGGATTCGCTCCGTACGAATTCTGGAAAATTCACAGCCTGCATAACTGCTTATTGTCAGGCATTTGGTTTTGGTGTTGTACATACTACTTTTCCGTCCTTGTAATACAAGAATGTTATTCACTTTGTAAATTTGCGTGGTTAACCTTAAAACTTAAGGAATTATTTTTTCTCGTCCCCAATATGTAATGTATTCCAGCATGGTTTTATTCAAAGCGTGGCCGTCACTGTTTAATACCAAGATCTCTTATATCGATTACACAGGCAAAGGTAACGATCGAAAGATTAACATACGAAATATACTAAAAATGTGCTATATAACAATAACCAATGCTATTATTTGTGTGGTTCCACCAACAAAGATTTCAATTATATTGATCGGATGACACGACAATTGTTACTGAGAACTTACATTATGGGATTTCCGTATCACTTGGATGGATTCGATTTTTTGAGTGCCTCTTGCACTTGTCGTAACACCAACAAAAATTTTTTTTTGATTTTACACACACGAACATTTTCTATTGTAGCGTGCGGAAAAAGTAAACTTTTGAAAGTGTTAATTTTAAGTTATTATATCAGAACATTTTTATGTTGTTTGATATTAAAAGTTTTTAAAGGGATCATTAATTTTTTAGGTTTAATTTACATATTAATGTACCTCAATACAATGACCAAAAGTCATCCCCATATAACTTAGCTATTAAAAAACTAGAGCACATAGGGTTGAACCCTGATCTTAGCTGAACGCCGCTTGATATATTGCAAGCACTGTAGTGTCATATCCAGTCGACACTCTCGAGGAGGGTTCAGTAAAAAATTTTTTTTTGCCAACCAAAAAATAAATATTTTCATTGCCCAATTAGCATTTAATAAAATCTTTAAGAATACCCACAATTTTTCTCAAAAATTTTAATTATCCTTCAACATAAAACAGTATATACACATCTTTGCTGTTACGTGGCCAAGAACATTTTGAGATTGTTGTATCATTAGCTTTGCAAAATGTTCCACCTTTTCTTAAAACTCATGTATAATGTCCTTCATTTACTTCATTTCATTGATAAAGTATAGCTTTTATTTTCAAATCTAAGCTCTCTTTGTGGAGGCGTTTGTTAAATTAAAATTGGTTCTTATACCTGTTTTTCGTAGAGTAAAAGGGTATACTAGATTCGTCGGAAAGTATGTAACAGGCAGAAGAAAGCGTTTCCGACCCCATAAAGTATATCAGGATCACTAGCCGAGTCGATCTAGCCATGTCCGTCTGTCTGTCTGTCCGGATGAACGCTGAGATCTCGGAATCTTTATGAGCTGGGCTAGTGAGATTTGGCAAGCAGATTCCTGAGCTTCTTACGCAGCGCAAGTTTGCTTCAGCAATGTTCCACGCCCACTCTAACGCCCACAAGCCGCCCAAAACTTTGGCTACTACAGTTTTGATGCTAGAACAAAAATTTTAACTGAAATGTATTGTCCTCATCAATACCTATTAACCCATTAAAACCATTAAAGTTTGCCACGCCCACTTTAACGCCCACAAACCGCCCACAAACTTCAAAAAAATGTAAATATGAACGCGGATATCTCAAAAACTATAGAAGATAGAGAATTGGGATTTCAGATTTAGATTCCGTAGCCTTGTACGCAGTGCAAGCTTGTTACGAAAAGATGCCACGCCTACTTTAACGCCCACAAGCAAAAGCCCGTCTAACCAGACCCCATTGGTTCCTTGGGATCCTTCCGCCTTCATCGCTCTGGTCGATGACTCCAATGATCTTCCGATCCTTTACTACTTCAGCAAAGGATCTCGACCATGTGCCGCGGTTGGTTACTCTAGCCTTCTTGCTCGCTGGTTGAGCTGTCTCCATCGACCTCTCTCGTTGCCTCTTGTTGCTGTTGCTGGTGGTCATAGCGATGTCGAAGTCTGGGGTTACCGCCTTTGCCCAGGCTATGTCCTCTTGGATTTTTAGGTAATCCAATTTTGACGTTTGATCCTCATGTATCGGGTTGGTGGCCAGCCGTTTAAGGATCCGGAAAGCTTTCATACGTTCAAGGGATCCTGCCTGGTTAGGTGGTATCCCCTTGAACTCCTTTGTCCTGGTACTCACCACGAGACCGGCTTTGGCGATCCCCTCAGGTTGGAGTAGCTGGTTAGCCACACCTACGCTGGTGGGAGGCTTGGGCTTGTCGTTGTGGTGAGTTGGGCTTAGCCGGCTGCGTTGTTCGCTGGCCTTGGCAGTGGTCGACGTCACAGGGACTAGGGTAATCGGAGCCGTGATCTTGCTCTCTTGTCGTCGTTGGTTACGACTTCCGACTTTTTGAGTGTTGAGTGACGGTAAGAGTGGACCCTTAGTCCAGCCGGGCTTTTTTTTTTTTTTTGTTTTTTTTTTTACTTTATTTCTACAACTAATAAATATACTCGTACATTTAGAAAATAAATAAATGGGCGTAAACTGCAGATGTTGAGCGGTACGGCCGCAAAGCAATGCTTCGCACAACCGCGGCAGCTTACGTGTCCAGGCCTCTCCTCTCTCTCTCAGCTATCGTGAGTTTTCGCATTACAGACGCGGCCAATTTGGTCGTCGCGTCCCACTCCATTTGGCCTTTTAGCATGGTTGGAACTAGCGTGCTGGGGCTAGTGCTGACACCGGTCGCTATTTCCAGGGCGGTCCTGTCCTCTTCGAACCGCACGCACTCGAATAGGACGTGGCGTGCGTTCTCCTCGATTCCAGAGCCGCAGGGTGGGCATCCGTCGCTCGTGTCGTGTCCGTACTTCTTCAGGTACGACCGGAAGCATCCGTGACCACTCAGGATCTGGGTCGAGTAGAAGTCCACCTGCCCGTGCCTCCTTTCCAGCCAAGGACTCAAGGCGGGAATGAGATCGTGGGTCCAGCGTCCAGAGGTTGCGGAATCCCACCTCTCCTGCCACCGAGAGATGGATCTCTCTCTCGCGGGCCGTCTTGCCTCGCGCCTAGTTTGGTTGTCCGTGGTCGTGACCGTTTCCTCCACTTCTACTGCCTCTCTTACTAGTTCTTGCACTGGAACTAGACCAGCTATGACGAGCGCCGCTTCCTCGGAGATTGTCCGGAAGGCACAGGATATCCTTGTGGCACATAGTCTGTGCGTGCGAGCCACGCCACTAATGTACGAGGGCGTCGTGGCGGCCTTAGCCCATACCGGGGCAGCATAAAGTACTTGGGACGTGACTACACTCGCTATGAGTTTCCTCCGTTCCTGCTTCGGGCCCCTTGTGTTCAGGAGAATGCGCGCGAGCGATCTGGCGGTCGCTGCGGCCTTTTTGTTGGCGTACTCTAGGTGCTCTTTTTAGGACAGCCTGGTGTCTATCATGACGCCTATGTATTTTATGGCTCTTTGAGAGACTATGTCAACCCCTCCGACCGTCAGCTTGGCCGTCTCGACGAGTTGCCGGCTGCTTATAAGAACGGCCTCCGTTTTATGTGCCGCGAGTTGGAGTCCGGTAAGTGATAGCCATGACTCCACCTTCCTCACCGCAGTGTTTGCCATGTCCTCCACTTCGGCTATCGTCTTGGCCACGATCGTGATGGCGACGTCGTCCGCGAAGCCAGTCACGTGGACGTTTGCAGGCATGAGAAGCCTCAGCACGCCGTCGTACATGGTGTTCCACAACAGGGGGCCCAGGACAGATCCCTGTGGAACCCCAGCAGTAACGAAGTACTCTTTCGGGCCGTCGCTCGTATCGAAAAGCAGCACCCTTTCGCCGAGGTCGCTGTCGACTATCCTGGTGAGGTACTCCGGAATCCGTAGCCGCCTTAGTGCCTGCATGATCCTTGTCCAGTTCGCCGTGTTGAACGCGTTTTTGATGTCGAGCGTGACCAGAAGGCAGTACTTCTTCGTGCCGCCTCTTCAGCGCTTCCCGCGTATGGCTTCCGCGGCTGTCCCGGTGACCATTCGGATCGCGTCCAGCGTGGACTTTCCTTTTCGGAAACCAAACTGTGTGGGAGATAGGCCACCAGCCGCATCTACGGCCAGGTTTAGCCGTTTCGAGATGAGCTTCTCAAACACTTTGCCAACAGTGTCAAGCAGACAAATTGACCTGTAGGAGGAAGCTTCACCAGGCGGCTTCCCAAGTTTGTTGAGTAGAAGCAGCTTCTGTACTTTCCATCTCCGGGGAAATGTTCCCTCGCGCAGGCAGGCGTTGTAGAGGTCCGCGAAGGTGCCCGGCCGAAGCCCAAGCGCCAGCTTCAATGCTCTGTTGGGCACTGCGTCGGGACCTGGGGCTTTGTTGTTCTGCAGGCTGCGTCCTGCTTCAGCAACCTCGGCCTCCGTAACTTCCTCGATCTCCCACGTAGGCGCCGTTTCTTCCTGTATGCTCTTCTTGGCGCTACCCGAAGGAAACAGTGTGCGAAGAATCTCGCTAAGGGTTTCAGGTTCCGTTGGCGAGCGGCTGCCTGCGTTTGCCCGCTTTACCACGAGTTTGTAGGCCCCACCCCACGGATCCTGTTCGGCTGCGTCGCACAGCTTCAGGAAACATTCCCGTTTGCTGTCCATGATGGCGTGCTTCAGGGTCCTCCTGGCTTGCTTGAAGGCGGCGTGTGCGGCCTCGGCCCTGTCGGTCCTTCTTGACCGTTGAAGAGCTCTTCTGGCTCTGAGGCATGTCCTTGTGAGGGTGCTATCTCCGTGTTCCACCAAGGTACCGGCTCGTGGTCTCTTCTGTATGGTTTGCGCATCAGCATTCCAGTCCTGCACGTATCCTCCAAGCTGGCTGCTATCGCGTCCGCGTTGTTGTTTGCGTCTGCTTCCGTGGAGCAGTGCATGTCGGCGAGGCACCTGCTCATCTCCTCGGCGTTTAGCGTCTCCTGGCGGTAGCCCTTGACTGCTCGGATCCGGGCTCCTGGTCCTGGCCGTGTGCCCTCTGTGCATAGGATTGCCTCGTGGTCGCTGGCCGTGAAGAAGTCGCCGATTCTCCAGTGAGAGCGTCGGGCTAACGCGGAGCTCTCAAATGTGAGGTCTATGATGGACCCAGCTCCAGCCCGATTGAACGTCTCCTGCGTCCCTTCGTTTAGCAGCGCAACGTCTAGCGATGCAAAGGCGTTGAGTAGGGTTTGCCCCCTTATGTTGCTGCTGGGGCACCCCCATTCTTCGGCCCACGCGTTGAAGTCGCCTGCGATGATAGCGGGGTAACGGCCCCTTGCGTC